AGAGTAAGAGGCACAGGTTATGCAGATATGCGGAGAAGATAATGATTAACTCAAGATTTTAACTGGTTAAGATTGTAGTGATTGAGAGAGCATCCCCTTGGGAGTTGGTTCCACAAATCAGTAGTTTATAGGAAGAAGCTTCTCAAGTGGAACTTACATCACATCAATGAAATACAAAGGAATCAATGTAGTTTGTTAGACTGTGCATAACATGGCAGATTTTAGTCATGAATGCTAGAACTGGTGGTACTAAAGAATGTAGTTCATAGAATGTAGAGCACTTTCCATGGAAATAATGATACATCAATAAGAGGTTTGTGATGTTTTGTCTGTGAGAAAGGGGTTGTAGGATATGGAAATGAGAATTAACAAACTGTGTTCAAACTATGCCAGGGACAGTTTTCATATATTTTGCACTAATGCCCTTGGGAAAGGGATGAACCAACTTTTATTCTCAGCTATGGTTAAATAATAAAATGTATTGAATCCACTTTGTCTTGTAAGGCAGTTCAAATTGAGCATCAAACAAACATCCTGACTCTAAGAATATCCTTACTACTGAACCTGCAGCAGCATCACTTGGTATAGTTGTAGTCCTCCCTAAGCTCCACAAGGGATGTATGAAAATTGCATTAAAAAATTTTAAATTAATTACAGTTTATTTTTATTGGGAAGTTGATTGAATGGTATTGATTTTATTACCATTTGAATTGACTTGTTTAGTTTGCTTCAATTATTTCTTAAAGACCAAAGATCTTGGGAATTTAATAAAAGGTCAGGGATCATTATTTGCTGCCTCTACCATATAACACAGTACAACCTGACATATGCTACTTGAAGAGGAGATAGGTACACCAAATATACTCCATTACCTTGAGAGACACTATGAACAAGAATAACTTGGTATAGTACCCCTAACAGATTGTAATGTTTGTGAAGACAAACTTTAAAAATTCCTATATATTAGGATTTGGCAAAACAAACAAACAAATCAGACATTCAAATTATAGCAGACATATTATTAGAATATATTCTATTAATTAACCAATTTCTGACAAAATGAAAGCCTCTTTTTATTGAAAATTATTAATAAGATACAATATTCCAACTGTATCTGAGTAAAGTAGAGCTAATCACTTCGCAGCAAAGGTACTACCACTGATGATATGCCCTGGTCCACTGTACTGGTCAACAGCCCACATCCAACTCTCACACATGGCTCCAAGAAGTCGCATGGGCACTGTGACAGCCACATCTTGGTCAACAGCATCAATCTGCTGTATAAAATGTGTGAGGGTAGTCGGAAGGGTTTTGTGAACACCTTTCCCTAACCCACCTGTACCAAGTGGCCACTGACCAATTGCCAGCCTGGGCATAGGAACTGCACATCAGGTTAATGGCTTTACTAGTGGGCAGAGGAACTTCTGAGAGGAGGGACAGGGTAACCTCAATATCCTTGATGGAAAAGCAACTGCACTATTTTGCCTTGAATGCCACCATGAACCACAATTACAACCCAAATAGGGGGAATAGTAATCACTGTAGTACAAAATGCGCTAATTGAATAAACGAATTAATAAATTCCATCTGAGTAGATACTAACTTACAATAAAATTTAATTAACTTATAATTTACAGAAAAAACAAGATAAAATTTATACAGCATTTAAATCATAATTTATTAATCTGCAAGGTTTCAGCTTTTAAGCATATATAGTTATTAAGTATTTAGAAATTTTATTCTCTTCTTTTAAATATTTGTGCTCATTTTTGTGTCTACTACTATGTTTGCACACCAGGTATGAGTAAAGGACAATGCATCAAGTAGGCAGTTTGGGTAATAGTCGAAATTGGAGTAACAGACTGAGTTGAAGTAGTAAGAGGAGTTGCTAAGAAATCTTTCCTGTTGTACAAAAGCTGAAAAAATAGTTTTTGTAATTCACCTCAACAATCTCTGGATTTATAAAACTTTTAGATTTACACTTTATCTCTTTTCTTCTTTTCCTTTCCAAAAGGTCATAGGTGCAAAATCTTACTTTGTCTAATTTGATTTATGCAATAAAAATTTTAGGGATATGATGATATCATTAGAAGAATGCGTTGTTGCTATATATATATTATATATATATGTGTGTGTGTGTGTGTATATATGTGGTGAAGGCAACCATAGTTGTATCCTCTCCAAACTCCCCAACTATAAAAGAAATGAATCAAACCTCACTTAGCAGTAGTCAAATTGCATTGAATAAAGCTGCACTAAAAACTTAAATGCCCATCTGTCTTTCTTTAGAATATGTGAATTGTCATTTTTAGTTATATAAATGCTATTAGTATGTAAGAATGTTTCAATAATTTGTTCTCAGTGTGCACTGGACATCACTTGTTTTCTGTGTATATATTTATGTCTGATTGGTGCTGTAAGAAAAAAGCTTCTACTTATTTGGATTATAAGCCCTGTCTTCCATGATTTTGTTTCACTCACAATGACTTTGACTTGACTGTACAAATCAAGTTCTATTAGGTTGGTGCAAAAATAATGACGTAATAATGTCGTTTTTTGATGTTAAAAAATATGTCAAAAAACGACATTATTACGTCATTATTTTTGCACCAACCTAATACTTTACTACATGTATTCTACAAATGAAGTACAACTGAAAACAATATAAGTATACTTCTAAAATCTCTCAACTGACAACCATTTATACACCTGGTAGTGGTAGGAGGGAGACACCATTGTAATATTTTATTCAACTATCCAACAAGTGTACATGGTATGTAAGTTATTATGAAACATATAACAAAAAAAATGTAGCAAACTTCATTTTGGAAATTTTTATGTCATTTCAAATTTCTTTTTTTATATATAAAATTGTATTGGGAATTCTATAAGTAGAAATATGTTTTACATTTAAATATTACCAAACTGATGATCCTTAAAAACGTTTTCTCAGACATTTTAAACTGTTTGCAATTTGTAAGTAAACATATATTGCAAAAATTGTGATGATATGTAACAAAACTTTTTCTTGAATGCTTTTTATTTTTATAAACTAACAAACTAGATAAGAAAAGTTATTTTTAATTAACCTTGAATTATAAAAAGACAAAGAAGAATGTATTTAATTTTGAAGACGTTCAAGGTATTCTTTTTCTTTTTATTTTAATAAAGCCACATAAAGTTATTTTGCTTCTGTTCTAAATGCACAGAAAATGCCATTGTCTAAAGTGAAGGACTGCCATTCCTCCCATCATTAATCTAGTAAAACTTTAATAAAAGCCAGCATTCTTTTATTAAAAAAGAAAAAGAAAACAGTAAAGAGATAAAGCAAGAAATTAAGGAATAGCAAAAGGCAGTACTTAAGATAACCTTACCAAAGGATGTTTGCTGATGATTGAACTCATTCTTTGGAGATTGGATTAAAAGAACAAAAAAGCACCAAAATACAATTCTCTCCCAAATGAGAGAACATGTTGAAGAATGCCTTTCTTGCCCAGTGCAGAAGCTATGGAAAAAAATGTGGAATCGTCCAGAGGTAATGCATAGAAGAATTCAGATAACAAGTGCATGGCACTTTTTACCTCACAATATGAGAGAGTATTGTGCAGGGGAGGCAACTATATTTGTTGAAATGATTCTTTTTTTTTTTTTAATATCGATAATTGCAACTGCTCATTGTTTTCTTGTGCTTGCAATGTTTTCAGAAATACATTGAAAAAAATAAAGGCATAAATCACAACAGAGATAATTTCTGTTTGAATTTCTGGGATGAGAAATTATTATTATTTACACTATTTGCATTCAGACTATCGTCCTCATCTTTGTTGTTATTATCACAATGTTTTGGCCATTGTTTCTGGCCTTCTTCAGGTATCTTTTAATCTAGTTAACTTTCAGGGAATTTTGAACAGAAACTTTTATTTAATCAACTGGGGTAGATTAAATTATTTAAACATTGGATAAGATTAAATAAAGCATTCAGTTCAAAATTCTCTGAAGGTTACTCAGCTTGACAGACACATAAAGAAGGCTAGAGGGCTCCATTCATTGTGACGATAACAAAGACGAGGAAAATAATCTAGATGTAAATGGTGTAAATAAATTGGGAGATAATTATTCATTATTTTATGACAATTATAGAAAAAATATTTAAGATATATCTCAATAGAAGATTCCACTTATAACATACAGTAAAGCACCCAGGAAGTGCAGTTTCAGGATAGGGAGGACAAATTTGATCTTTAGTTACAACCAGTGTAGATACTTGTTGAAGAAAGCTAATTTTGGCACAAGGCTACTTTTATAGAGCTCAGAGTCAGAATTTAGCTCACTCATAAGATTAATATGGTAATAAATACTTAACAGAATGTGTTCTAATCAGAATAGAATTCATTACTATTTTTTTATAGGAAACTGAATGATTCTAATTTTTTCTTGACAAATAAACAGCCAAATCATGTGGCTACTGTGAGGCCTCAGTTTCAATAAGCTGAGAAGTTGTAATAGGATTAAGAGATATAAGCGAATTCAGTTCCAATATGATCAGAGTGGTTTGGGGAATGAGATTCATTAGGAAAAGGATGGATTAAAACTATCCTGTTGTCATTGAAGAAGGAAGTTAGAACAAGCGCAATCAGATCAAGTCAGGACTCCAGCCTTAATTATAATTGATCTGACCAAAGGCTTCACCTTGAAAGCGTAATGCCTGATAGATCAAATCTACAAGGTGAGAAGGATATGAAGTGCTGCAAAAAAGATGCTGTAGGAGACTAGATCAAAACTTAACTTCTAGCAGTAACAAGATGGATCAATATTCCAATTTCAATATAGGCAGGGTTATTCAAAATACTGATTGCAATGATGATAGAGTAATTCAAAAGTATTGTTTGAAATGAATGTAGCAGGGATCAAGGCTCTACTTAAAATAGAAGCAAAATGGATCAAGCATTTAACAGAACTTTGTTGAGTAAGGAAGTAAATTTAGACACCCTGATACTTACTTAAATCCAGAAGCTGTGTCATAATAGGCCATTCCCTTCTTCTCCAAGATTGCTTTGAAGGCTCTATAATAAAAAATTAAAAAAATGAAAACCAGTTATACTTTTAGTTCAATTCCTGAAATAAGAAAAAATATAAAAGTAAAGTTGAGCTTTGCTTTAACCTAGGGTTCTTCTGAATAGGAAATTAACCTGTCCTGGGTATGACAATAAACTACATCTAACAGCAAGGTCTCTGATCAGGAGATTTTGAGGAGTGTGGAACCACCTCTTAATTGCTGGTGTTCCCAGGTCCACCTTGACTCAGGGTTGTAGCACCTGTTAGGGTCCCAGATATGGGTAAATAGTTAACCCTCAAAATGGGATTAAAACACTATGAAAACGTAAAAATAGGTTTTAATAACTGAAATACTTTGTAAAAAATGATTACCAGCAATACCTTTTTGAAAACAAAAGATATTACCAGCTCTATATTTTAGAAAAAAAAATATTACCAGCTATCCATTTTTGAAAAAAAAATATTACCAGCTATACATTTTAAAAAAAAAATATTACCAGCTATACATTTTTGAGAAAAATATTACCAGAAATATATTTTTGAAGAAAAAAATATTACCAGAAAAAAAAATTGTCAGCATTAAATAACCCATCGAGGTTGATAAGTCATAAAATGAACCGAACCAAACCAAACTAGGAAATTAACCCTGTTCATGTTTGAAATTAAATCTATTTCAATAAATTACAAGCTCATAAACATTACAAATTTATTTTTGCAAGTGTAGCAATAATTATTTTTGATTGATATACAATAAAATTATAAACAAAATTAAGTAAATGTTTTTATGGCTATATAATTTTATGAGGATCAACTATAAATTTATAGAATCATATCAGTAAAAACAATTACTGAAAAAATTAAATCTTGAATATTTTCTATGACAGCAATAAATATCAATCCTATTAAATGAATTATAATTATGCTTATCTATAACATACTGCGGCCACATCTGAAAAGGGCCTCCAATTAGTTGTTAACTGGGGCAAAATATGGTAAGATATTGCAAATTTTAACCTTTAGCACTTTACATTATCAATATTACTTCCCTTTCTACTTCATTCTTTTTTTAAGGCCCCTCAATTGCAGTATCCTTATTATTAATTTTACTTAAAGTTGTTTTCTGTTACCATAGCAGGATATGACAATACAACTATGAAATTCAAACACAATATTGTTCAAGGATCAAAGTCATCTTCAGTGGCAGGATAAACTTTCTGTACAGCAAATAGAGCCATTTTCTCATTAAAATCCATCTTGCACATTTATAAATCTACCATTCGTCCATGCATTGAATAGCATTGACATATCTAGTCTGGTGCTCCTGCCATAGATCTCATTGACAAAATACAAAGAAGTGTTTGTAATGTAATTGAAATTGACCTAGCATTTTGACTTTGGTCACTTTCTCACCTTTCATGGCAACTGCTCTGATGGTTTTTTTTCCTAGTGCCCTGACCACATGAATTTAAGTGTTTCACTAGATTGGCAACTAGGTCTCACCATTTTACTGCTGAACTGCATTTCCCACCTGTAGAACTCCCTCCTGATTTTTTTGCTCCTTCCTCAACCTTCCCCAGTTGCATTGTAATGTCTGCAGTCTAGTGCCATTGTTGCCTTGCTTGAGGTGAAACAATTAAAAAAAAATAACATTCACTTAAAGATAGTTGGAGAGATAATCAGCTGAAATATGTTAGATGAAGACAGGAGGGTAAATTAATCACAACCAAGATCTGCGAGCAGTAACCCAGAGCAAATATACTAATTATGTATTAGTATTATGTATTAGTATCATAATTAATTATGCATTATGCATTAGTATCCCAATTAGATTGGTTAGAAAAACAAAAAGTGTTTAATTACCCTCCGGATGACTTGACTAACTCATCCTCTGGTGGAGGTGGGAATTCTCCAGATGGAGATCCATCTGCTGCTCCGCCTGGGTATTGGGGTAGCTGGTCTGCATTCTGTGCATTGCCAGCACCTGTCAGCTATAAATCGAAAGAAAAATTTGATATAATTACTTGACTATTTCATATCTATATTTTTAACATATATAGAGTAACTCAATTTTTTTTAACTCAAAGAAAAATTAATATAATGTCAGAATTAAGCATGTATATATTAATATGTATGTATATATATATATATATATGTGTGTGTGTGTGTATATATATGTATATATATATATATATATATATATATATATATATATATATATATGTGTGTGTATATATATATATATATATATATATATATATATATATATATATATAAAGTGGACACTGAGGTCAACAGCAAGTAGTGACAATCTGATTCATACTTGAAAGGCAATCTTCAAACTGAAACAGACTGTTACCACTTGGTGATGACCTCAGTGTTTACTTTTATATTTACATAATCTCTATCTCTGATATTGAGCACTTTTGATCATAAACATATCATACCTTAAAGCTATATTTTTATCATATATGTTTCATTAAAGATGACTGACATGGTACTGCACTTAGGCTTTTTATTTAATTTTTCTTGTGTTCATACAAGTATTTTCTTTTCTGGACATAAAATGTGTAAAAACTGTCCAAGATTAATAATGGCTAAAAGAATAGCCAAAAGCACTTGGATATACAGAACTTTATATATATGTGATGGTTGTATTGATGCATGAAACTGTCAGTCACCATGCAGTGTCAATCCCTATAACAACACACACACACACACACAAAAAAAAAAAATTATTTTAGAGTTGTGAATTTTAATTTTTTATATTAAACATAAAGGGAGATTACTTGTTCTTTAAAAGAAAAAAAACAATAGTAATTTACATTAAAAATTAATCTGGATCAATCTATTTCAAGCAGATATTTATTTTTATGCCTACATGTAACCATCAATTCATTTCTCTTGTTTAATAAACTACGGTTAAGATTTTTTCACTACAACATAAGTTATCTCGGGAGATAGAAGGTGTATTACTCTTATTCTTTAATTGCCAGAAATATTTAAAGAGAATAGTGCTGTTTTTGTATTTTATATTATTTAAAATCATCTGATGATAACAGAAACAAAACTTCTAAGGATTTTCAGTGGAACCAAAATAAAATTCTCATTGTTACTGGAATGTATGCTAGAATGGTATACAATATTATCATTCATATACTGATTTTTTTAGGGACAGATCATATTTTTTTGGCAGTTGCATTTATTTTAAAAACATTAATGTTGTCTTTGTAGGAAATATATTTGTTTCATATAATGTTGTTGTGTTGATGGTTACATGTAGGCATAGAAATAAATATCTGCTTAAATACATTGATTTAGATTAATTTTTAATGTAAATTATGGTTGAGTTTTTCAAAAGAACAATTTATCTCCCTTTATGCTTAATATAAAAAAAAATTAATATTCACAATTCTAAAATAATTTTTTTTTTACATATATATACAAATCCTGTTTATTTTAAGTGCCAAATATAATTTTTAAAATTAAAAAACTGTAATCACACTATAATTCGCAAATACACTTTTAAGTAGGCGTCCAAGGGGGTTGTCAGTGATGTTTTGATTTGGTTCATCAGGGAGTTTCGGGTCTTTCAACATCATACTCCCCAACACCAAATTGACCCAATCAGGGGAGATCAATCCCTGATTCCCCCTTCAACTAAACGCTAGCAGCCACTCTGGCCTTTTTAAAGAATATATAGCTGCACCAACATTGCGATAACAAGATATTTTTAAAACTTAAGTAATAGTCAGTCTATAATTGGGTTGTACGTGGAACTCTGAGTTGTGCTATTGGTGAGTTATATTATATATATATATATATATATATATATATATATATGCACATACACACAAGCACATATATATTTATACACACACATATGTATATATACACATTAATATATACATAAATATAAATATATATATATACATACATAAAACATAAATATATATACATAAATATAAATGTACACACATAAATATTAAATACATACATATATATATATATATATATATATATATATATATATATATATATATATATATATATATATATATATACATAAATATAAATATATAAGTGGAAATAAAAATTACACAGAGGCAACAGCTGTTTCCTTCTAAATGCAACTGTCAGACCATATGTGTATATATATATATACATATATATATACACACATATTCAAAGTAAAATATGATGCAATGGTTAATCTCAAAACTTTTTTAAGGACTGATAATTTGATTAATGTATTTGTGGTGAAAGATTTCAATGTGAACAAGAAGACCACTATGGAGCAAACTGGGTGCCAAAGTGCTTAAATACAAGGAAGCTTCTATTTTAGCAATATACAGTGTTTGTGGGATTGTGAACATATATTGGTATAACACATATGCACAGACAAAAAGAAAAATAATTCAATCTAATATCAATAATATGAGCATCCCAACTAGCATATAAATTACATCAAACTTAGTACAAAGATATGGAAAAATGGCAGTCAATTACTGAAACCTTGAACAGTGGACAGAACAATTACAAAGCGTTCCTCTATGAATCTCAAGATTTGAATTGCTGAATATAGCATCAATTAGCTCAGTGACAAGTTGTATTAATATATAATGTAAATCTATTTAAACTCCATGGGTGAAAAAAGATTTATTTTATTATATATATATATATATATATATATATATATATACAAGAATAGCTAACTTCAAAAATAAAAAAAAACAATCCTTGGCTATCATGTTTAATGAAACATGCATTAATCTATCTCTCTCTCTCTCTATGCATTAATCTATCTATCTCTCTCTCTATATATATATGTATAAAATTAAACATACATTAATCTATCTATCTATCTATCTATCTATCTATATATATATATATATATATATATATATATATATATATACAGATAGATAGATTAATGCATGTTTCATTA